TGTGAGCAGGAAAACGCGCTTGGAAGCCATAGGGCCATGAGCCAAAAGCCTGGCTTTAGAGCATGCTCAGTGGCTGTGCGACTTGGAGCAAGTGACTTGACCTCCCTGGGCCTCAGTTCCCTCATCTGTCACCCACTTTGCTGGGTGGCTGAGGGGAGGTCTCACACTTTGACAAGAACCTGGCACAGGGGAAGCACCCTGGCAGTGCTGGCAGCTTTTCTGTGATGGGAGCTAGGGTGGGGGGCGGGCCTGATCGCAGGTGGGGGGAGAGTGGGCCTGCTCAAGGCCCAGGACAGCCACGGTCACCAGCACACTGTGGCAGGGAGAGGTCTGAGCTCAGTGGGAAGTCCTGTGTCCTAGCGGACAAGTGAGGACCCTGCAAGCCTAGGTGTGAGGCTGTGCAGACCTCAGGGACCAAGCAGGGGCCAGATGGGACTCAGGAAGCGGGGTTCGGCCTGTGGTCTCTGATCCTCCCACCCTGTCTTCCGAAGAGAGAAGGGGGCCCTGGCTGGTGTGGCTCAGCGTGTTGGGTATTTTCCCACAACTGAAAGGTCGCTGGTTCTGCTCCCAGTCAGGGCACATGCCTGGGCTGTGGATCAGGTCCCAGCAACCCTGGTTGGGGGCGTGCAGGAAGCAATGGATTGATGCTTCTGTCACATGTCAATATTTCTCTTCCTCTTTCTCCCTCCCTTCTCCTTTCTTGAAAAAATAAATAAATGAAAATCTTAAAAAAACAAACAGGAAAGGGGGTTCTGGCTGTGCCTCAGTGTCTTTGTCTGGGAAGCTGGGAGCAGTCTGGCTGGGGCAGCTCAGCACACATCAACACTGCTTTCATGGGGGGGGGCGGCGGGGGGGCAGTCAGCTCAAATTAAATGAGGCATCTCAGGCACCGACTGCTTCAGCCGCACACTTTCCTGCCGCCAACAGGACCGTGGAGCCAGCAGAGGCGGGGCCCGCCTCACTGCTGGGTCTCAGCCCCGCTGAGGAGCCAGAATCAAACATCTGACCCTGTGGGTGCTTCCCCTCCATCCCCAGTCTTTGCATACGTGTGCGTGCATGCAGGCGTGCGTGTGTGTACTCTCAGTGGCGTCAGCACCCCCCCCAGATGGTCCCTTTGCTGGTCCCTGTGTGATTGAGTGACTGGGGTGCTATGTCCATGTCGTAGGCCCCTGCCTGAGGGGACACTGTTTATCACCACCTCCCAGTGGCTTGGGTTGGCTTTCTTGGGTCACAAGGGAGGTTCGGTATCTTCTAACACAGAAGGCGTTTGTGAAGTGTGGGCTCCTAGCTGCCTGGACCTGTAGAGCTGTGTGACGTGGGCCAGGAGGAAGGATGGGACACCCCTTTGACTTGCCAGGGCAGGAAGGCTGGCATTTTATGGTTCCCCGTCTCCCATGCCTGGGAAGCCCAACCTCACAGTGGGGCCCAAAGGGATTAGGTCACTTGCCTGGAGCCACCCCAGTGGGTGAGTAGCCTAGCTAGGGCTTCTTAGAACATTAATATGACATTCACATACCAAGACAAATCATCTACATGTGGCCCGGGTGGGGCACTTGGAGCACACAGTATCGGTGTGAAGGCCTGTGGGAAGAGCTGGTGCTCATGGGAGTTCTTGTACTCTGAGTGACCGTGAGAACCCTGCACCCTAGGGCCCTGCAGAAAGACTCCGTGTTCATGATAAGCTCCATGGTTCTAACTTCCCTTTCTCTCAACTTCCTTCTCCCTCACAGAAACAGTCCTCCTCCACCTTGGCGCGCAGGCCAGAGTGAGCATTTGGCTAGCTGTGCCTGTGTGTACTGGGTTGCCACCCTCTCTTTTCCCAAACAAATCCTGGGTGACAAAACACCTAGTCGATATTATTTTTCTGCTAACGACCTCTAGTTCCAGAACATTCCATCACCTCCAAAGGAGAGCCCATTCCCATGGGCAGGCATTCCCCGGTCCCCCTCCCCCAGGCCCAACTACCTAATCTGGCTTGCTGTCTCTACAGACGTGCCTGTTCTGGACCTTCTGCATAAATGGAATTAGACCATGTGTGGCCTTTTGTGTCTGGCTCCTGTCACTCAGCAGGACGTCTTTCAGGTTCACCCACGTTGCAGCTTGTGTCAGTGCTTCAGTCCTCTTTGTGGCCGAGTGATATTCCCGTGTGTGTGAGCCACACTTTGCTCACGCCTCATCAGCTGGTGGACACCGTGGCTGTGACTGCCTTTTGGAGATGTGACTAGTGCCACTCTGAACACCAGCTGCAAGGGTGGGTGTGAGCGCCTGTTCTGGGTCCTCTGGATGGGGACCTAGGAGTGTGAGTGCTGAGTCATATGGTAACAACAGTCCAGGCTTGAACCAGGGCCCTGCAGCCTCAGAATCTGCCCTGGGAGCTTTGGAGCCACTCTGGGTCCTCCCTGCCCGGAACCCCCTGACAAGACGAGCCTCAGCTTCCTGGGGCAGGGTGCGGCTGGTCGTGTACAGAACTCACTTCCTCCACCCTGGATGCAGGATAAGGGTGGTGCGCATTTCCCCGTGACACCTCGGGAGGGGCTCTGTCTGGTGTGGGGGGGCCAGCGGGACCACCCACTCCCTCAACACCAGACCTTTGAGTTGGATTCTGTCTCCTTTAGGGTGCCCAGGAACTCAGGGAACCCAGGGCTCCACAGGGTGGGGGGAGGGCTCCGAACTGAAATCGTGGTGAGGGAGAATGGGCGGCCAGGGCTCCACACGGGGAAACTGAGGACCTGCCTCCATCCCTCGAAAAGGAACACGATGGGCGACTAGAGCCGTCGCCTGGCGCCCTGTGGACCCAGATCTGACCCCCGACAGTCAGCACTACAAACCTCCAGACACGCAGATGCCCGCAGCACCGAGTGGGGGTGGGTTTGAACCTTCAGCAGCCCCAACCCCAAGAATCTGGAAATCGGACTTGCAACTTATGGAATCTTCCCGAATGCTAGCCGGTGACCTCCGGTGTCTGGGGTCTCGGGTTTTTAGGGTTGGCAACTCTCCGATCCCCTGCAGAGACCCGAAAGGCCACTGGATTCAAACTGCTTCCTGCCCCCTTTCGGCCCTTTCTTCACTGAACGCAAGGTGGACCAGCGCTGGGGGAGGCGGGGCCCTATGCCAGGGGCTGACAGGGCTGGGCTTGCACACCACCAGTGGAGGGGAGCTCACTATCTGACTGCGGGTTGGTCTCAGGTAGAATCGTGAGCCACAGAGGACAGTGGAGGCCACGAAAGGCACAGGTGGTGGATGGAGCCAAGCCCTTGAGGGGAAGGGGCGGGGCCGGGGAGGGAAGAAGGAAGGGCGAGAGGCGGGGACCTCACCCGGCAACGGGAAATCTGGCCCTAGCAGTGTGGCGGGGCAGGGGGCTGGCTGGCGGGAAGGCGTGGCCTGGCGGGGGCTGGAGGGAGAGGGCGGGGACTCGCGCTCAGGTGAAACTCTTCCTTCTAGTCGCCAGGAGTAAGGGTCGCAGATTGGACGGTGGTGGGGGGGTGAGTGTTTGGGGTTTCCCGCGGCCTGGTTGACCCCCTGGTGGAAGGGAGGGAGTGCGGGTTCTTGGGGAACTCTAGGTGGGGTCTCTGCGGGGCGTTTACTGTGAACCTGCCAGGAGATGCTGGGGCCCATCTCCTTACCCGGTCTCAAAACCCCTTTCGTCCTCCGTCATCTCTAACAGTAACGCCGTCTTCAGACCTGGCCGGGAAGGAAGTCTCCCCCACACCTGGGGGCGGGGGAGACAGAGGCCACCTGCGTCTCTGGCATTTCTGTTCCCTGCACTGTCCTGAAGGACACAATGAGGATACCTTGGACCCCAGTTCCCTCGCTGCTCTCTTACAAGAATAGGGCAGGATCGAAAGGAGTAGTGGAGGGTTCTGTGTGCTCTGGCCATTATGATTACTGTCATTGTCATTGGTGAGATTGTTAGGGGCACTGATATGGAGAAGAATAGACTCGGGGGCCCCAGGTGCGCTTTATTCCTGTTACTTGAGGGAGCCGCTGCTGACCGCCAGTCTCACCCATTGCCCCGAGCCCTACCAGACACTTGGCCACATTCAGACCTGAAGACCTCAGCTCATGGCTTCCTCGGGGTTCAGGTCCCTCAGCCTCAGTGTGGCTCGGGCAAGTTGCTCCTGGTCCCTAGACATGCCTCAGTTTCCCCACTGTGAGGGAGGGCAATGACCCAGCTCCCATGAGGATGTACAAGGTGTTCAGCAGGCAGAAGCTTCAATGATTAGACTGCTCCTGGCCACTGGGGACCTCAAGTGAGTGACTTTAGGTTTCTGAGCCTCACTTTCCCTAGGATGTCAAGCGGAGCTCATGGTATGGGTGACAGTGCTGAAGGTGACGTCGGTCAGTAAGCCCTATGGCCATTAAGTGGGTGCCCAGAGAACTCAGCCATCATCATAACCATATGAATAATAACTGTTATTACTATTAGTACAATCACATCTTTAGCTAGGTTCCAACCTTCCTTTGAGATTTCTGAAGCAAGTTCATATAGGGGAAACATGGGAATTGAGAGGGTAGCTTTCTTAGTGGGACCACAAAAGTGCTGTTTGCTTGGAAGTAAGGGGGGAGGTGCTGAAAGGGGAGCCACACAGCTTCTTCCCAAGCTCTCTGCATTTGCCCTTTGTTCAAGTGTTATCTCTCCTTTTATGTTGGCAATCTCCTTTCCCCCACACCTTTGACTTATGGCCAGCAAGCTACATGTTATCTGGTTAGGGAGGAGAGGTATAAACCATTTGCTCTCCAGTGTCCTCACGGGAGATAAGGTCTCGTGATTCACCAGCTGGCTGTAAGTTGCTTCAACTGTTTGGCTTTCTTTAATTTTCTTGTCTGTTTCCCATCCTACTTGCCCAGGAATTTTCATAGCTTCTTATTATCCTGTCTCATTCCCCCCTCAGAGACTTTTATCCCTAAAATGTTTTAGGGGTGTTAAGGGAGGAAATTCTCTTATCAGTAACTGCTTTCTGCAATCAAGGGTCGTGTGTGTTCCTGCCACATAGGGTATAGAAGTCTCTTCCTGCTGATCTAAGGGACACACGGGAATGGGATCTGAGATTCAAACCCAGAGGCTGTGAGCTGATTCTTCCAAAGTAGAGGTAGGCTGGAATCCTCAGAGCATCATCATTTTGATATGGAATTGTATGCAATTCAACCACCTAGTCCTGACAACACATCCCTTCACCCAAATCACTGAGTCTCATTTCAAGAGGTGGTGATGCCAATGTGCTTCTAAAGGGAGGCCTATACTGTGTAAATAAGCAACTAGATTAAATAAGGTCATGGTATGCACTCTATGAAAACAGAAAGAACACAAAAGTTAATGAACACAGCAAATCATAAACCAGTTCTGAATCTGCAAGAGTGTCGGATGAGAAGACTTCCAAATGCAAGGTTTTTGCTGGAATGAAATTCAGCATGACGATCTGATAGGTCCTCTTTATCTGCAGTTTAAATGTCTCTGGTGACACTGACTGTATGGTTGACACTGCATCAGTAGTTCTCAATAATTCCAATTAAAAGGACGGAAGAAAAATGAAGCATTAGTTTCAAAGAACACTAGAAAAATTCAGGATCCAACTCAGTTTGAGGGTGACAAATTAGGCATGGTGATTTCCATTGAAACACAATTTCTCTCCCTAAAATCAGCCTCATTTTCATCAAAGAGACTGCGTTAAGTCCAGTCTCAATGTGGCCTGATTATTTGCATAAACACAACAAGAAGAGTAATTGATCATATAGGCTCCTTCAAATCTGCTTTGCTGGAATTTCAGAAGGAACCTTTACAGTGAGCTTCAGTCAGCCCTCAGGGCACAGCAACAAAGCCACACAGTTGCATCTGCTTTGCCTGCAATACTGATAGGTTTGGGTGTATTCCTCAGGTTCTTTCCATGAGGTTCCTGAGGTTCTTTCCATGCCATCTTTCAGGAAAGCAACCTTCGTTCCCTACCTGGAAAGACTGCCATGAACCATGTGGCCAAGCAAGGTACCAGGCCATTTCTGCCATGGGCTCTTACTGGCTTTGAAAATCAGTCTTAATTCCTTAGGGCTTTCTGGTGACATCCAGAGTCCAGGCATGGATCTTTTGATCATGACATACCAGACAAAGACTTGCTTAATAAAACCACAATTAGAAACTGGCTTTATGTGTCCTGTTATGTAGAAATCAGATTCCTACTGGATTTTTGCAAACATACATATTGCCATGGAAATAATAATACTCATCCATTAAGAGTTTCAAAATTCCGGAGGGATCAGGTAGGGAGAAAAATATAAGTGCCTCAGTATATCCTGTGAAAGTGTAAATTACCAAATAGCTTTAAGAAAAAATTACTTTTCTTATGTCTGAAAAACAAAAGATTATGAGTTAGCGATACTTCGCAACAAAAAGTTATAAAGCCACAGTTGCCTTCAGTTTATTATTTCCCATAATTTATTTTGTTTGCCTTGGTGATTTGCCAGTATTTACATGAATCCAGTTATTTCTTGGAGTTGTGTAAATCTTCACTTACTTCAAAAATATGACCAGCTTTGACACCTGTAATTTAGAGAAAATTAGAGTATATCAGAGTCCTTTTCATAAACCCTTCCAAAGACATAGTATATTTTTTCAAATGCATTAGAGTAAAACAATGGCTGTCTTCAAATGACAAAAAATACATAAATAAATAAAATCTTTAAAGTGAAAAACTTACAGATTTGACTATAACAACATTTTAAGATAAAACTAAAATTATAAATTTTATATCTGAACATTATGAATCTTGGAGATTTTTATATAATCTTTTGAACATCTACATTAATAATAAAATATGTGTATACAAATAGAACATACTTATTGTTTCATTATTTGACAAGCTTCCCATGTACTTGAAACATTAAATATATATAATTAGTTCAAAGTTTCTTTTTTTATTTAAAGATTTTTTTAATTTTTAGATTGGAAGGGAGGGAGAAAGAGAGGGAGAGGAACATTAGTGTGTGGTTGCCTTTCACATGCCCTCAACTGGGGACCTAGTCCACAACCCAGTCATGTACCCCGACTGGGAGTCAAACCAGTAACCCTTTGGTTTGCAGGCTGGCACTCAGTCCACTGAGCCACAGCAGCCAGGGCTCAAAGGTTCTTAACATGGAGAAAGAACAAATCCCTGAGGCATTGCAGGGACACATTGAAATGACGCAAAACCAATTTTAGGCATTGAAAAATTTCTTGGACTTCTGGTAAACATGGCTCACCTCTTTGCAAAACATATCAAAATTGCAACTAAAATATAGAACAACCGTCTCTTAGAACCATTGAAATTGAGGTTAATGAAAGTTTGACAGTATGGAATTAAAGAAACCACATCCATCCAGACTGGTCAGAAACATGAAAACATGGAATGGGCTAGTCCCCTATTCATGTGTGGTAGATAAAAATTTAGGAGGGATATCTTGGGAGCAAGGGGACTGAGTCCCACACCATGACCACCAGCCCAGCATTCTAGTGCCAAGAAGATAAGTCCCCATAACTTCTGACTCCAAAAAATAGCAGAGATTGAGTTGGTGGAAGAAACTCATGTAGTCCTGAGCAGTTTCCTTTAAGCAGTATCCCCAACCTTTTTGGCACCAGGGACTGGTTTTATGGAAAACAATTTTTCCATGGACCAGGGTCGGGGTAGGGAGACAGGAGGCAGAGCTCAAGCCAGGGAGGAGGGTAGAAGAGAGGAGGTAGAGCTTAGGCAGTAATTAAAGTGACATCTACAGATGGAGAGGAGGGAAATAGGGGACCCCAGCCTTAAAGAACTCACACACGGACTTACTCAGACTCACTTCCTCTGAACTCTAGCACCAGGGTAGCAACCTGAAAGGTACCAGTTGCATACAAGGAGGAACCAAAGTGTCTGGCATCAAAGGCAGGAGATGAGGGACAACTTTCTCTCAGATGAAAAAGTGGGCAGAGGTCATCTCTTTTCTGAGCCTCCCCACAAAGAGCCACAGAGCTGGCAGGGGGCTACCATATCTGAGACTCCATCAACTTGGCTAAAACTGTTTGCCCTGCTCTGGAAATCCTCTGAGATTCCATCCCACCCAACATACAAGCCCCCCCCCCCAAACTGTTAACTGTGACTTTTCTATATGAATTGTTGGTCTTGGTTCATGCTTCAGAACTTTGTAAAACCTATCAAACAAGCAACATCCTGTATGTCTTGCTAAGTGGCCACAGGCCTGGAACTAGTATCATCCAGCCTAGATTCACAGTTTGGCTTTACCTGGGAATCTCCAAGCCCAGCACACGTAGCAACCATCTCAGATTGCTTTATAACTCATGCAGAGTGGCCCTGGGCAGAACACAGGTGTAACCCCAGGAAACCCCAGAAACTGTGCACCCAGTGGACAGCTATAGACCATGTTGGAGAACCACCATCCTGCCCCTGCACAGCTGATCATCCACAGAGGGTGGAAGTTGGTGGTCAGTGGTCACAGCCAGTCCTTGCAGCTGACTGGCCTAGGTAAATCCCTCTCATTGACCCACCAACAGCAATCAAGGCTCAACTACAAGAGCCCACATGTGTACTCAGACCATACAAAGGGCACACCTTGAGTACTTAGCTTGGGTGAGGGAGAGGCTGTGCCATTGGACCCTGCAGGACACCTACTACATTAGGTAACACTACCAAGACATGGAGTCAAAGCAGCTCTACCTAATACATAGAAACAAACACAGGGAGGCTGCCAAAACAAGGAGACAAAGAAACAAGACCCCAATGAAAGGACAGACCAAAACTCCAGAAAAAGAGTTAAACAAAATGGAGATAAGCAACCTATCAGATACAGAGTTCAGAACACTGGTTATAAGGATGCTCAAGGAACTTAGTGAGGACCTCAACAGCACAAAAAAGAGCCAGTCAGAAGCAAAGGACACACCAATTGAAATCACCAACATTGTACAGGGAAACAACAGTAGTGTGGATGAAGCCGAGCATCAGACCAATGATTTGGGACATAAGGAGCAAAAACAAAACAAAAAACAACCAATCAGAGCAAAAACAACAAAACAAAAAAACAGAATCCAAAAAAACAAGGATAGTGTAAGAAGCCTCAGGGACAAATGTTGGACTTCAAGAGGTCCAATATTTGCATCATAGGGGTACCAGAAGGAGGAGAGAAAGAGCAAAATATTGGAAATGTATTTAAAGAAAAAAACAATGAAAGAAAAGTTCCCTAATTTAACAGACCTTGCAAGTCCAGGAAGCACAGAGGATCCCAAAAAAGATGGATGCAAAGAGGCCCACTCCCAGACACATCATATGTAAAATGCCAAAGGTTAAAGGTAAAGAGAGAATCTTAAAGGCAGCAAGAGAAAAGCAGTTAGTTACCTACAGCTGAGTTCCCATAAGACTGTCAGCTGATTTCTCAAAAGAAACTTTGCATGCTAGAAGGGACTGGCGATTGGTAAGAAATATTCAACGTCAGGAAAAGTGGAGACCTACAGCCAAGAATACACTACCCAGCAAAGCTATCATTTAGAATCAAAGGATAAAGAGCTTCCTGGACAAGAAAAAACCAAAGGAGTTCATTATCACCAAACCATTATTACATGAAATGTTAAATGGACTTATATAAGAAAAAGGAGATCAAAATTATGAATAATAAAATGGCAATAAATATATATCTATCAACAATTGATTGTAAGAATCAAAATAAGCAAAGATGAAGAACAGAGACAGAATTACTGATACAGAGTGTTTTGATGTTTGCCAGACAGGAAGGGGTTGTGGGGGAATGAGTGAAGAGGTGAGGGGATTAAGAAGTACAAATAAGTAGTTACACAATAGCTATGGGGATATAAAGTACACTATAGGGAAATGGAGTAGTCAAAGAACCTATACGCATGACCCATGGACATGAACAGGGATGTTGGGATTGCCTAAGGGAGTTGTGTTGCTGATAGGGGGGAGTAAAGGGGAAAAAACTGGGAGTACTGTAATAGCATAATCAATAAAATATAACTTTTTAAAATTCTTTAAAATTTAAGCACTGAGGAGGTTATAAAATATACTTGACCAAAAGATTATATATCATTATGAAACAATGTTAAATTATTTATTTACCCAAGGTGACAAGATATCAAACATGAATATAGGCTAGCAAAATTTATTTCTTACAATAAAGAATATGAGTTTTTGAGTAATCAAGTAGCTGATTAACACAATATAACACATAGATACTTTCTTAAATATAAAGAATCTTTGCTTTCTAGACAGATACAGTAAAAACATTTTCCCTTTTAACAGGCTGAGAAAGAACCAAACAAATTCTGTATTAGCTTGCCTCTGATACTTAGATCCATTCATCTAAATAGATTTATTATTCTGATTACTTACATAATTTCCTCTCAAGATCTCTCTTCACAAACCTTCGACTTACACAGACCCTCTACTACTGGGTCTTCTTTAGTTTGCTTCTCTTTAACTCACTCAGAAAGAAGTAACTTCAGAACAAATTATGTTTTCCTTTTTTCAACAAGTATTTTTATACCTTATTCCAGCAGTCCCCAACCTTTCTGGCAGCATGGACCGGTTTTGTGGAAGACAATTTTTCCATGGAAGGGGGTGGAGACAGGAGGTGGAGTTCAGGTGAGCTTTGCTCACTGCCTGGTCCCAAAAAGGTCACGGACCAGTCCCGGGCCATGATCCGAGACTGGGGATCCTTGCCTTACAACTTTTATTACCAAACCATGCAATTTCTTTCCAACTTAACTAAAATTCTTAATTCTCAGAAGTCCTGATTTTTAGTGACAACTAAAAGTAATTAATATTCTTTAGATTGATACGTTTATGAACATGTTATATAACTTCTAGAAACAGGTTGTGTCATTGGCAAACACACTCACATTTTCAAGAGACATACTTCAAATAAAGTACAAGATATCTTCAATAACAGATACAAATTCATCTTCTAGCTTCTCTTTAATAAGAAGCCAAGGAAGGCAAACTCGGATCAATTAATGTTTCAGTTTCCTGTTATTTCAAAATATCTAGATATTTAATAACTTTCACCATTTAACCCAGCAAAACTCCAAAATTCCTAGTCACCAAAGACTTTTGAAAATTATGTTTAGGTATATACATAATTACTACTGAAAATTTTTATCAAAAACTCTTCACTTTAGTTATATCTGTTTATTAGTTTTTAACAACTTTATGAGATTTTAAAATCAATTGCTACCCAAGCCACTTTATTGACACATTTTGTAACAGAGGTAAATAAATGAACTTATTTCTGCAAACCCTGGCAAAATGAACATATATTTGATGTTAATAACTTTATTTTTTAAAAGATTTTATTATTTATTTTTAGAGAGAGGAGAAGGTAGGGAAAAAGAGAGGGAGAGAAACATCAATTGCTTGCCCACCTGGCCCACAACCTGGGCATGTGTCCTGACCGGAAATCAAACTGGCAACCTTTGATGCACAGGTGAGTGCTCAATTCACTGAGCCAGACCAACCAGAGCAATCATTTTAAAAGATATTAAACTTAAAGCAGCTTTAATATCAATATTTTCCAGATCATATAATCCTGAAGAAACATTTGAGATAGTTCTTACTTTTTTGTCCTTGACAACTTTAAAGAGCCTGGAGGAGGCACAGGGGAGATATCAGGCTTGAGATGAAAGTGGTTTGAGTTTAAAAGTGCTGTTCTTTCACACTGGCTTGTGTGCTGCAGTGGGTTGAGTGTCAGCCTGTGAACCAAAAGGTCACTGGTTCGATTCCAGTCAGGGCACATGCCTGGGTTGCAGTCCAGGTCTCCATCTGGGGGTGTGCCACAGGCAACCAATTGATGTTTCTCACATTTTTGTTTGTCTCTTCTTTCTCCCTCCTTCACCCACTCAATGAAAATAAATAAATAAAATCTTTTTTAAAAAGTACCATTTTCTTTCTCTCCCATTGAGAAGAAAGTCTCCCCTGCTGCTTTGGCAACCAGCACAGAATTTGGAGATTAGCATTAATTGCCTTATTTTTCCAGGGCTGGTGCAGAGGTGGGGAGGGGCATGGGTGTGAGATCATTTCCTTCTCTTTAAAACATCACTTCAAATCCTTTCTAAGTAGAATCCTTATGAGGTACACCATGAAGCTAACACATAAGAGATCTTATTCTATTTTCTAGACCTTTGGCAAAACAATTCTAATTAATTAGTGACTTATAGCTAGCTGTAAGTTGACCAATCAGCTAAAATGTGACCTAATGGACTCTGATGGGATCGAGACTGAGCCGCTCCTTTTCAAAACAGAAAAACATACTCTGAAGCGAAACACAAAGTTCAAATACACAAGTACTCCTCCAAAAGGTGGGACTGGGACTAGCCATAAAATCTAATATCATACTACTTTTCCTTTCAGACGACAGAGGAGAGAAACAGAGGAGGTGCAGACTGGACCATGTCTGGGGGTGAGTGTTTGGGTTGCTTAGGATCTGGTGGACCCCCGTCACAGAAAGGAGAGAGACGTGGCTCTAGAGGAACTTGGTCCAGTCTAGAGGACCCCAGAGATACCCTTTGAGGTTGAGCTGGGGCAGGGCTGGCATTTAATCAGAAACCTCAGTCCAGCCTCAGATTCCTTCCTGGACCGGTCCTAGGAAGGGGAGATTCTGCTCTAGGGGAGGACAGGCTCATCCAGTGAGTCATTTGTGATGAGCCCTGGGACTGCAAAGAGAGGTTCCAGGGGGTTCAAATGGTGAGTCACCCTTCTTCAACACCCATATGTTCATCAGGTGAATGTTTGCATAAATCCACCTTCATACTTGCGTAATACACCAATCTAAAGCTTTATCTTTACTGGGCTTTCCTTCTTTTTGATCTGTTTACAAAAGCTCCTCATGCTCCTTGTAAATAGGGACCAGCCCAGCACTACTAGGAGGCCAAACTGGTACTTTATGGTGAGAGATCACGCTCAGATTCAGCAGGTCAGGGCACAAATCCTGCCAACTCTCCTTGACCTCAGCTGGCTGTGTCAGCTCTGCGAGGTGGGCACCCTCTCTGTGCCCAGCTCACCCTGGAACACAGCCACCCCCAGATGCTGAGTGAGAGGCACAGGACTCCTCCACGGGCAAGGGGTCAAACCCTCTCCTGCAAGTGCCCCGGTTCCACTGCCGAGTCTCCAGGATATTGTCTGGTTCGCTGCCTCTCTGCCGCCCATCAGCACGTCAGGCCCCTGAGTGCAGGAGTCCGCTCATCAAGTTGTCTGAGCACCCAGAACCCACAGCGGGACATGGCGCAGGCCTGATGTTCAGCGCAGTCATGAGTGTACAGGTGATAACGGTGGCTGATGATGATATTAACATTGTCATCGCTGGCACTTCGCAAAGGGCTGACTTCGAGAAAAGGCCATTGGTCGTCTAGCCTTTCCCAGGACGCAGGTTGTTGTGCACACAAATAGGGTTCTTCCAGATGCTCTGTCACCCCCACCCTTCCCCTCTCCTTTTGGCAGCCTCGGAGTATTCCATAGCCCCGTCCAAAACCCAGGGGATGGCAATGATGACCCCAGCACCACTGATATTCAGCACCTGCTGGGGCCAACCCTGAGTTGGCGGCTGACACCGTCTCACTTTGCAGGCAGGATGCCGAAGCCCAGGGGTCCCAGGATGATCGGGAGCCAGGTCAAGATGTCCTTCCCCAGGCAGCACTATGGCTGCTTCAAGGGCATCAGCCCTCTCCTAACTGCTCGGACAGGGGATACTGGCTTTTGTTTTTCTGATTTGGAAACTAGGTTCAGTGAGTTGGCAAGTTGGAGGCACTGGGTCAAAGGGTCCCCAGAGCTGGAGCTAGGATGTGGGCATATGTTATGAGCCTGGAAAGGGAGCAAAATCTCACCTCTAAGCCTCAGTTTTCTCATGTAGAAGTGCAAGCATCTTGTGCAGGACCACCAAAATGCCCTAAATGCCCCACACTGTTCCAGGTGCCAGTGGGGACAACGAGGAGACCCCAGACCAGCACAGATCTCCTGAGGAAGGCTGAGGTAAGTGCTGAGGTTCATGTATTCATTCAACAAACACTCATTGAATGCCCACTTAGGTGTCTGTCCTGGAGAGGTCCCTTCACACGTGCACAGTCCCGTGAGCTGGGGATTGCTCAGATGCCCCTTTTACAGCCGAGGAGACTGAGGTCCGGGGTGTGGAAGGCACACAGCCAGGGACGTGATGGAATCGGTGTTCAAACCCAGGGTTTGGGCTCCAGAGTCTGCATCCCTCAGGGATAAGCCAATAAGTGTTTGCTGAATAGTAAGTCCTATCTTGGGTCCAATCCAGAACTTCCTGACGCACTGGAAAAGAGATCCTCAAATTTAGGAAAACAGCACAGACACCACCTTACCAGGCAAAAAAGGCGCTGAGGTGGTGCAGGGAAGCTGGGAAAGGGACTTACAAGGGAGACCTAGGGCTGTGCCTAGAAGAGGGGGGAAAGCTCTCAGGAAGAGGAGACATTAGAGCTGGGGATTTTGAGTTTGAATAAGGGTTTGCCAGACATAAATTGAGTCAATTTAATCTTTTACTCATAAATTTACTCATTCAAACACTCCCTGCTCTCCCCACGTGTCTGCCTCATGCTGGGCGATGCCAGGACCCCAGGTCTGGGGAGACAACTCCAGACACGGTCACCCCACAGGATCAGGACTGAGCCAGATCAGGGGATGGGGCTGGAGGTGCCCACGGGGAAGCAGGACTTTTCCGAAGGGTGGGAGAGGGCTTCCTAGAGGAGTGGGTGTGGAGGTGAGTTTGCCAGGAGGAGCAGGTGGGCGCCAAAGGAGATGGTTTTGTCTGATACATGCTGGGTCAGGGGCCGCGCTCAGGTCAAAAGATCATTTAAAATAATGAAGAAGAAGAGGCAACGGTTGTATCAGAATGCCAGAGCTCAGAGCTTTCTAGAGCAGCAGGTGTTGAAGGGGAGGAGGAAGGATCCCAGCAGCTTGCACCTGATACAAAGGGCATTCTCTGCCTCCACCTGGGAGGCTCCTGGGCCATCTCTGAGTCAGGGACATGAGGAGGAGCAGGTTGGATATGGGAGGGGGTGAATTCTGGGCACTCGGAGTCTGGGGGGCTCTCGTTGGAATTCCCGTGCCTCAGTTTCCTTTGTAAATATGGAACCCCAGGCAGGGCCTGGGCTTCTGTCAGAGTCCAGCTGGGCTGGGGTGCGGGAAGAGGCACGGTGTGGGGGACAAGATGGGGGTGAATTCCAACATTTTACCAACCCGAGTGATGGCGAGCTGCAACCAGGTGTTGGGGTCCACAGGTGGCTCAGGAAAAGTGCTCGGCCCATCCGGATCTTCAGTGGCTGCTACTTTCCCTGGAGCCGCCTGGGGATCTCCTCGGATCAATCGCAAACCCTGCAGTCCAGGATGAGGTGTCCGAGGTCCTTGCCACAGGTGGGCCTGGCTCTGGTGCTCTGCACCTTCACTCTCCTCTGCCTCCTCCTCAGTCTGCACCTGTCACCACCCCAGTGCTGCCCCCTGCCAGGGAACTGAAAGAGCCACTGGACACCCCCGCGGCTCTGATCTGGCTCCCCGAGCCAACCCTCCCCACCACGCCGGCGCCCTGCAGGGCCAACACTTCCCTGGCCCAGCTGCCAGACTTCGCTGAGCAGCCAAAGCACGTGCGCGACTTCCTGCTGCACAGACACTGCCGGGACTTCCCGCTGCTGCAGGACGCGCCTCTGAGCAAGTGCGCACAGCGGGTCTTCCTGCTGCTGGTCATCAAGTCCTCGCCGCACAATTACGAGCGCAGGGAGGTGGTGCGGCGCACTTGGGGCCGAGAGCGGGCTGTGCGGGGCGGCTGGCTGCGCCGTCTCTTTCTGGTGGGCACAGCCCAAGAACCGCACGAGGCCCACAAAGTCAACCAGCTGCTGGCACTGGAGGCGAGGGTTCATGGCGACATCCTGCAGTGGGACTTCTACGACACCTTCTTCAACCTCACACTCAAGCAGGTGGGCTGGCAGAAAGAAAGTCACCTTATTGGGGCCACCTGAGCTTCCTGCCCAGATCACCACCATCTCCTCTGAGGGGCCCAAGGGAACCAGCAGACCCTGCACCCCATGCCACCCCCTCTAATGTCCTCAGGGCATCTGAGGGCCTTATCTCTAGGGGAGGCCAGAGGTTCCAGCCTGGCTACAGGGTCCTGCTAACCCAGGTGCAAGTTCAGGCTCTATGTTACCCTTGATGTTCACCTCTCTGTGCCCCAGTTTCCTCAACAGGGAAATTGGTTATTAATTGGACTCGCCCACCTCTGAGGACCTCTGTAAGGATTGCATGAGATAACATTTAGAAGTCACCTGGACCAGTGCCAGGCACTCAGATAACATTGGCAATGAGGTGCGGGGTTGCAGGGATGCAGGGTACTGGACAGAGCACACCCTGTTTTTGTCTGGTGAGTCCCCCCATGGGGCCCCCTCTGTGCAGTGGGTACTCCACAAAAACGTTTCTGATGGACAAGAACCCATGGGAGGTAGAGAGAATCCACATGCAGAGGAGGCAGTGGGGGCTCCAAGGACCCACCCAGGTTGGGTGGGGGGGGAGCAATCTGCATAGACACCCAGTGCAGGTTCCTGCTCCTGGTAGGCACAGACAGGTCTGGGTTCAAGACATCAAGGGGGCAGCAAAGGTCATTATGGAGGAAACTGAAACCAAAGTGAGCAAAGGGCCAGGACCCCTCAACATGCCCCCTTCTTGACACAAAACACCAAAGCACGCGGTAAGTAACAACTTGACACACGTGAATCTAACCCATATGAGGCGCTGGGCCCACAGCGGTGCTGGGAACACGGCACAGGTAGGAGACACAGCCCCACCCAGGGGGAGCCCAGAGTCTGGGGGTGGGGGATGTCTGATGACGACCACACAGCAATTCTATGACAGCAGCGCTCGGCCAGGCACACTGGGAAGGAATGGCAGTAAATGCAGGCGTGTGAGTCTTCCTGGCGCTGTGCAGAATATCGTCTTCATGGACCCCAATGCTCCTGCAGGCAGGTCCTGAGATGCGGCCTAAAAGGAAACTTGGAAACTGAGGCACAGAGAGGAGCGGGTTTTTGCTCAGGTCACCCCACAGGGTGGGACCTTGACCCCAGGCTGGGTTGACAGCGGGGACGCAGCCTCAGCTGTGCTCTGTGGGCTGGGGCGGCCAACAGGGACCTGAGGCTGATGGTCCCAGCCTTGAGCCTGTGTGCCCTGTCCGCCCGCCCGCCCGCAGGTGCTCTTCCTACAGTGGCAGGAGGCTCGGTGCAGCAATGCCAGCTTCGTGCTCAACGGGGACGACGATGTCTTTGCGCACACAGACAACATGGTCTCTTACCTGCTGGACCACAACCCTGACCACCACCTCTTTGTGGGGCAACTGATCCAGAATGTGGGCCCCATCCGGGCCCCCCAGAGCAAGTACTATGTGCCAAAGATAGTGACACAGGAGGAGCACTACCCGCCCTACTGTGGAGGTGGTGGCTTCCTGCTGTCCCGCTTCACGGCGGCCGCCGTGGGCCGGGCCGCCCGCACCCTGGACCTCCTCCCCATCGATGACGTCTTCCTGGGCATGTGCCTGCAGCAGGAGGGCCTGAAGCCCGCCTCACACAGCGGTATCCGCACCGTCGGCGTTAGGTCTCCCACAGCACGTTTGTCCTCCTTCAACCCCTGCTTCTACCGGGAGCTGCTGCTGGTGCACCGCTTCTTGCCCTATGAGATGCTGCTCATGTGGAATGCACTGAGCCAGGCCAACCTCACCTGTGGCAAGCAGGCGAGGGTCTATGGAGGTGGTGCGGGGACCCCCTAGCCTCTAGGCTCCTGTCTCCACCCCCATAGGAAGGGGTTACATCTTCCTCCCGGAAAGCTGAGAACTTTGTCCTCCGAGGGCCCAAGGGAGTGCCTCAGAATGTTTGCTAGAGAATATGAATACTTTTGTGGCAAGCTCCTACACAACCTTTGAAACTCACTCAGTACTGCTCATACCATGTTCATCATTTTCCCTAGACTCTCAGCTGGAGGGACCATCTCTTTCCATGGCAGCTACTGGCAGAAGCACTTCAGCCAGGGTTCCAGCAGCTGCTGCTCCTTCCAGCCCCTTTCAGTCAAAGTCCCACATCCCTGCTCCAACCTTGATCACGGGCTGGACCTTAAACAGTGGTCAGCCTCTCCTTGGTAGTGAACCTGCAGTGGTTTAATCATGGGTGTATTCTGGGTAGGGTTCAAGGCCAACTAGGAATTCCTGGGTGCACATGCAGCTGAAACAAGAAGCACTTTTCAGCCAGGGAGAAGGGTTCACCACCCTTCCCTGGGCCTTGGGCCCCTTGGAGGGTAGGAATGGCCTGAGAGGCCATGCACAGACCGCCCCCTCTGTGCCTGTAGCATCAGGTGCTCCAGTGGCAGACACATTGGGCAGGGGGGGAGGCAGCTATCTTTTTCAGGCTATAGTGACGCAGGGTCTGGGCCCCTGGCAGGGACTCAAGCCCCCCACACCTGTGCTCAGGGAGCTCAGGGAACAGTATTGGGACCAAGGTGCCTTCACAGGGCTCAAGGCCAGTGCATACACTCCCCCAGTGCCCAGAGAAGGAGGTGGTTCAGGTCCTCGAGTGGCCCTGAGCTCTTGTGACTCTGGACTAGGTACCCACCCCAGTGTGTCTTTCTGACTTGGGAGATCCAAGCAAACCCGTGAACCCCAGCCCTGCTGGCCTTAGACAGGTGTCTGGGACTTGGACCTCATAGTCATTGGGGAGGTGGCAGGGGCACTTAAGGCAGCAGAGTGAGGGCTGGAGAGTGGCTTCTCAGGGAATAAAAGGTTTTGTGGATACCTGGAGGTAGTGTTTTTTATGTTATGTGTAAGTTTTAACTCTGATCTTTCTACATTCATTTGTAAAAGTTTTATTTCCAGTAGATAGCATACCAATAGAGAGACAACAGAAGGGAACAGAAACAAAACTAAGAGACAATTAAAAAGCAGTATGCAACTAGAAAAACTAACAATACCCAAAAATCCATATAGCAAAGCCAGAAGAGTGCTCCAACAAAATCCCACAATGGGAAGCTGAGATTTTTCTTTGCACTAATCTGTACCTATCATCGAGCATCTCCTATTAATTCTTACAGAATCCCAGATGGTTCAAATTACTGGAGTGGTGGTCAGGGGCTCCTGGTTATACATACCAGGAACCTACCCATTGGAGTCCTTGATTCCTCAGAGAAAACGCTTACCAGGTATTTGTTATGGAAAGCTCAGTGCAATGTCAATTTATCCCAGATTTGGTCTGTAGACCACCAGATGGGCAAAGGACAGAAAAAGGCAAGCTTTTTGAGCACAAATCCAATCTCTTCCTGACAGGTGGAGATATGGGAAGAACCAAGGTCCTGGGACCAAACATTTCCCTCAGCAGAATTGCCAGACAGCTGCTTGAGATATTGACTCAGGATCAGGGCTTCCCAGTCCAGGCAAGCTGCAGGACTCCCCTGAACAGATAGCCCTGTTCCTAAAGCCATCATGGTGGAGTTGACAGAGATTGAAACCAGACAGCAATGGAGTTCGGCACTCGTGCTGCCTGTCACCACTCAGCCAAAGAGTAGAGACAAGGATCGGATACAATTGTGGTTTAATTAATGTCAGATGTCAGCAATGTGACAAGGTGACCAGTGAAAACCCTAATATCCACCTGCCCTTGAGCTTTCAGAAGTAAGTTCATATGAGGGAAACATTCCTGGGGGAAGCATTGCCATGCTATTTCTCTTGAGAGTAAGGGTGGGGGTGCTGAAAGGGGAGCCAAACAGCTTTTTCCCAAGCTCTCTGCATTTGCCCTTTGTTCAAGTGTTATCTCTCCTTTTATGTTGGCAATCTCCTTTCCCCCACACCTTTGACTTATGGCCAGCAAGCTACATGTTATCTGGTTAGGGAGGAGAGGTATAAACCATTTGCTCTCCAGTGTCCTCACGGGAGATAAGGTCTCGTGATTCACCAGCTGGCTGTAAGTTGCTTCAACTGTTTGGCTTTCTTTAATTTTTCTTGTCTGTTTCCCATCCTACTTGCCCAGGAATTTTCATAGCTTCTTATTATCCTGTCTCATTCCCCCCTCAGAGACTTTTATCCCTAAAATGTTTTAGGGGTGTTAAGGGAGGAAATTCTCTTATCAGTAACTGCTTTCTGCAATCAAGGGTCGTGTGTGTTCCTGCCACATAGGGTATAGAAGTCTCTTCCTGCTGATCTAAGGGACACACGGGAATGGGATCTGAGATTCAAACCCAGAGGCTGTGAGCTGATTCTTCCAAAGTAGAGGTAGGCTGGAATCCTCAGAGCATCATCATTTTGATATGGAATTGTATGCAATTCAACCACCTAGTCCTGACAACACATCCCTTCACCCAAATCACTGAGTCTCATTTCAAGAGGTGGTGATGCCAATGTGCTTCTAAAGGGAGGCCTATACTGTGTAAATAAGCAACTAGATTAAATAAGGTCATGGTATGCACTCTATGAAAACAGAAAGAACACAAAAGTTAATGAACACAGCAAATCATAAACCAGTTCTGAATCTGCAAGAGTGTCGGATGAGAAGACTTCCAAATGCAAGGTTTTTGCTGGAATGAAATTCAGCATGACGATCTGATAGGTCCTCTTTATCTGCAGTTTAAATGTCTCTGGTGACACTGACTGTATGGTTGACACTGCATCAGTAGTTCTCAATAATTCCAATTAAAAGGACGGAAGAAAAAATGAAGCATTAGTTTCAAAGAACACTAGAAAAATTCAGGATCCAACTCAGTTTGAGGGTGACAAATTAGGCATGGTGATTTCCATTGAAACACAATTTCTCTCCCTAAAATCAGCCTCATTTTCATCAAAGAGACTGCGTTAAGTCCAGTCTCAATGTGGCCTGATTATTTGCATAAACACAACAAGAAGAGTAATTGATCATATAGGCTCCTTCAAATCTGCTTTGCTGGAATTTCAGAAGGAACCTTTACAGTGAGCTTCAGTCAGCCCTCAGGGCACAGCAACAAAGCCACACAGTTGCATCTGCTTTGCCTGCAATACTGATAGGTTTGGGTGTATTCCTCAGGTTCTTTCCATGAGGTTCCTGAGGTTCTTTCCATGCCATCTTTCAGGAAAGCAACCTTCGTTCCCTACCTGGAAAGACTGCCATGAACCATGTGGCCAAGCAAGGTACCAGGCCATTTCTGCCATGGGCTCTTACTGGCTTTGAAAATCAGTCTTAATTCCTTAGGGCTTTCTGGTGACATCCAGAGTCCAGGCATGGATCTTTTGATCATGACATACCAGACAAAGACTTGCTTAATAAAACCACAATTAGAAACTGGCTTTATGTGTCCTGTTATGTAGAAATCAGATTCCTACTGGATTTTTGCAAACATACATATTGCCATGGAAATAATAATACTCATCCATTAAGAGTTTCAAAATTCCGGAGGGATCAGGTAGGGAGAAAAATATAAGTGCCTCAATATATCCTGTAAGAGTATAAATTAGCAAGTAGCTTTAAGAAAAAAATTAGTTTTCTCTGGCCAAGATGGAGACATAGGTAGAAACCCTTCACTTCCTCACACAACCAAAAGGAGGATAACAACCAGTCTAAAAACAATAAACAACCAGAAGTGCCAGAAAATCAAACTGCATGGAACTCTGACAACCAAGGAATTAAATAAACAGTCAACAAGACCCATAGGAGGGAGACAGGTAGATGGGCAGACAAAGAGAACCTGGGGCAAGAGGGCAGATCCCATGGGCAGGGATGGCTGAATGGGAAACCGAGACTCCTAGCTGACTGTGGACTATGGCAGGGGTTGCCGCGGTGGAGGAAACTCCCAGTCTGACACAAGAGTTCCTTGGAAAGTGTGCTGGAGATGAGCAGGTGAGCTGCATTGTTCCCCCTCTGACCCCTCCCCCACAGCACAGACAGCACCATGATGCAGCAAAGAGGGTTGACCTGCCCTGGGGAATACCTAAGGCCTCGTCTCCTTACAAGTTAACATGTGCACCAAAACAAAGAAATATGGCCCAAATGAAAGAACAGAGGAAAACTCCAGAGAAAGCCCAGTGTTGAGGAGATAGCCAACCTATCTGATGTGGAATTCAAAACATTGGTAATCAAGATGCTCACAGAACTAATTTTGCTTGGTCAAAAAATGAAAGAACAGATGAAGGCTTCCCTAAGTGAAATAAAGCAAAATATTCAGGCAACCAACAGTGACAGGAAGGAAACCAAGACTCAGATCAATGATTTGGAACAATAGAAAGAAATAAACATCCAACTGGAACATAATGAAGAATTCAAAAAAAATGAAGAGAGGCTTAGGAACCTCTGGGACAACTTTAAATGTTCCAGTATCCGACTTATAGGGGTGCCAGAAAGGGAAAAACAACAGCAAGAAATTGAAAACTTATTTGAAAAAATAGTGAAGGAGAACTTCCCCAGTCTGGCAAAGGAAATAGACTTTCAGGAAGTCCAGGAAGCCCAAGAGTGCCAAAGAGGTTGTACACAAAGAGGAACACACCAAAGCACATCATCATTAATTTACCCAAGATTAAAGATAAAGAGAGAATCTTAAAAGCAGCAAGAGGAAAGGAGACAGTTACTTAGAAAGGAGTGCCCATAAGACTATCAGCTGATTTGTCAAAAGAAAACTTACAGGCAAGAAGGGGCTGGAAAGAAGTATTTAAAGTCATAAAAGGCAAGGACCTACATCCAAGATTACTCTATCCAGCAAAGCTATCATGTAGAATGGAAGTGCAGATAAAATGCTTCCTAGATAAGGTCAAGTTAAAGGCGTTCATCATCACCAAGCCCCTATTCTATGAAATGTTAAAGGGACTTATCTAAGAAATTGAAGAAGATCAAAAACTATAAATAGCAAATGACAACAAAGTCACAACTATCAATAACTGAACCTTAAAAGAAAAACAACAAAAACAAATTCTAAGCAAACAAGTAGAACAGGAACAGAATCAGAGAAATAAATGGACATCACATGGAGGGTTTTCAATGGAGGGGGAGGGGACAAATAGGGTGGGAAAGATATGAGAATAAGAAGCATAATTGGTAGACATAAGATAGATGGGGAACGGTTAAGAATGGTATAGGAAACAGAGAACTCAAAGAACTTATATGCACAACCCATGAACATGAACTAAGGAGGGCAGTGCTGGAGGGTTGGGGGTGCAGAGCAGAAGAGGAAAAAATGGGAAAACTGTATAGCACAATCAATAAACTTTAAAAAAAAGAAAAATTTATTTTTTCTTATGTCTGAAAAACAAAAGATTGAGTTAGGAATATTTTTCAACAAAAAGTTATAAAAGCCATAATTGTCTTCAGTTTATTATGTCCCATAAATAATTTTTGTTTGTCTTGATGACTTGCCAGCATTTCCATGATCCAGCTATTTCTTGAAGTCTTGTAAATCTTCATTTACTTCAAAAGTATGACCAGCTTTA